CTATAAAACGACGTAAATTATGGCCGCGGATTGCAATATTATGAGGCTATATACGCACGTTTAATGTTCGAAGCTACCGGGCAGGAAATGCTGGGCGGCTTAATATTGTCCGAAAACGGTTTGGCATGGGTGAACGAGTGAGGGGGATGGTGATACAACTGGAGATACGTATGGGAAGAGGTTGACCTAGCAAGTATTGACGGATCATCCGTGAATCCAGAGAAGTGAACCCAGGGCTTCGATGGACAGTTGCCCAAGGGTACCCTCCGGATCGGTTCAATGAGGCTCCAGGATACCCTCCCATAGACCGATCAAAATTTTCGGGATGGCATACCCAACAAAAGCTGCGCATGAACATATTGTAGAGAAGACCATTACAGCTGGTAAATAATTAATATTATAGAGGTAATTTGTTGGTTTCACAATGCACGTATAATTTGATTTCGATGGGTGAACCAATCCAAAAAATTATATTCCAATGCATCCAAAAATAGATTCTTTTGCATTTCCGATACGCCCTCGTTTGGAAATGCGTTGAATCCTCTAGAGGGATAATATATCGAGATATCCTATTGTTTTCGGGTCTGAAAATAATTCTGGCCTTTAAGAGCTTCTGGAGCTTGCGTATTTGTCAGAGGCTTCCATTATTCAATAGGCTCTCATCCGTGTCATTCATTTCTCGTTATTCATTTTCAACATTGTTGCAACCGTTTACCACAAAGTGTCTTACCCCAACCGCAGTAACAATCTCAACACAAAAAAAACGAATATCTTTCTCATCGTTAACTGCGTGTAACTGATGCATCATGGGTTCCCCTTATAAAGTACAAGATCTCTTTGACAATGAATACCAATTATATCATACGAAGGTTTCCACACGGAAGTAATCGTTTACGCGGTTAATCTCTTTCAACGCTTTCACGTGATATTCCACACCTCATTCATTGGTTTTTTTTTCCTTCCCAACCTCACTCCTGACCAAGGTATTTTCTTTTTTTTTTTTTCATTTCTTTCCACCCCTCTTTCGTACTGCTCCTGTTGTTCCTTCCGAGCCGATACGGTGGTTAACCTCACGCGCATTTTTCCTCTTTCTTTTTCATCCCACTCACACTCTCCAAGCGAATACTCGTCTACACGTGCAAAACGAAGGCGCTTTAATGTGTTGAAAAAAGAGGAGTGGTAGAGAGGCACTTAAAAGACCCCAGGGAGCTGGCAACTTTGTTGAACTCGTCGTATTAATTAGCCAAAACTCCCGACCAATTCGGTATATGACCATGTGGATGCATTAACAGCCGAACCAAAAGTGATGGTTGAGTGAGACAGGAATGGTGCGATGATTTCTGGCAAAACCCCCTGCTTTTATATTTCCAAGAAGAACAGTCGTAAAGAATATCCGCTCGAGCTACCAACTTATAACAGTTATTATGTTTATAGCTTGAATTATTTTTGTGTGGTTTGGTATAGAAGCGCTTTTCATGTGATGTGTCTATTCGAATGTCGAAGAGACAGACGTGGAGAGAAGTTTAATGTGTACTGTGTATACTTTGTGAAACGATAGTTACCTCAGACTAAATTTTGCCATTCGAGGATTCTTCTGGCTCCAATAACCGATGACACTAGCCACAACAGCAACTAGATGAAAGCCCTGAAGACCCAGGGGAGATCGTCACCAAGAGGCTTCATCACCTCCACTCCAACTGAAAAATAAGAAACAGATAAATCTGGGATTCGCAACGGGCTGTCCCACACGAGGATTAACAGAAGACCCATATCCCCATCACCTATAAAAGAAAAGTGGGAAATGAAAAAGTTGGTGGAAAGAGGGGAAATAAAAGTGGAGTAAAATAAAACGAGCCGAAATAAAGAGGTGAAAAGAAAAAAAAAAGCAACAGGGAGAAGAAAAGGGGGATGGAGAAGCGTGTCGGCATGCCGTCGGTGGAGAAAAGAAGAGCCGGGAGGGTTAGGGGGTGAGACAGGGAGTCGTGAAAGAGTCGGTAACCCAGTGCCGAGAGAGCAATGTGGTCTACCACGAATGAGCGTACCAAACTGAAGGGGAACGATGTGAACAGAAAGGAAAGGAGTAGAACGAGGGGGCGATGAGGGGGGTGGATCGATTAAAAGTACAAAGTGTTGGGTACGTGCGAGTGAGTTAGAAGAGGGATAAAAAAAAAGGAGGAAGGAAAGACACGGGTGAGGCTGAATGAAACCAGGAGAGTGTGGGGGTGGGGGAGAAAGGGGGGAAGGGGGGGTGTGAGGATGGCGAATGAAAGTGGAGAAATCGGTGGGGGATTTTGGGGGGGTAAAGGCGCACGGATACCCGATGGTGTTGAGGTGTATGTATGGTAACAAGAGAACCCGAAGATGGGGGAAGTGGTGTTGGTTATGTGGATGGTGAGGATGAGGGAGGAAAAAAAAAAGAGGAAGGAATGAGGTTGCGCAACAAGAGGTACCAAGTGAGATGGTACGAGAACCCACATCCTGCCGACTCCTACAACTTTGGTGTGTGCTGACACCGGGAGCTTTTACCGTTCGCCGTCGCATGGCGAATGGGTAGGGGGAGTTGAGGGATTTACCATGTGTTGTCTACGTGTGAGGACGAGAATTCGACGGCGTATGTATACCTACGAATGAGACGGCACGTGGATTTGATTGAAGGAGGACACGTGGATTTTCATTCATTCGTTTCTCATGTCATGGGGTTGATTTTTAACGTTTCAGATATTCGGTGATTTTATTCCACTTGAAGAATGCAACTTGATTTTTTTTCAGAGGGCAAAATCAATTTCTAATTATTCAGGTTTTGGTGAAATAATTGTACTGTAGATAGTACTTTTCTTACTACCGCAATAAAATAAGTAATTCGACGGCGGCCGGTTCCAGCCATCAATTTCCTGAGACTTGATTAAACGAATTATTTTTCTTCAATTCCCCTAAAATTTCCGAGAATCCGAGATAGCGATACCATCACTTATCTCATTGGCCTAATTACGTGGTAATTACACGGATATTTGGACTGATTGTCGGAAGGAAGTAGTGAAATACTATTCGCAGTCAGACGGGTGGTGGTAATTAGGTGTTCACGTTAAAAATCAAACATCTGCTGTTTTGGATTTCTTGTGTGAAACACGTGAAGTCTATAAACCCCTTAATCAGTCGAGTTCGGGAGGCGTTTACGATCGATAAGACGCTAGTCCGAGGAAGGGGTGCAGAGAGACGACCTGTAAATAAGAACATTAATTTACTGTCAGCTGGCGTGACGCTCTTTCGTGCATGTAACGGCCCCTCGGAAGAAACTGAGAGGGGAACGGGAGGGAAAAAAAATAACGATGAAGAAAGTTGAAAGAGGAGGGGGGCATTTTACAAATCAGGGACCACTCTTCCGGAGCCATCTCCCGCCCTTGGCCACTCCACTGGGGGATAGTTTCCAGCGAGGGTGCAACCCTTGACTAATTTTTCCCACTGTAATCCCCCGAATTGGATGAAATCATCGAGATCACCGAGATGTGAAAAGAAAAAATGATTTCCACTACTGAGTTCAACCCCATAATTTCATCGCGAGGGGGAAAGATGGAAAATCATATTATTAGATATTTCTCCTATAAAAATTTCACGTAAAAGTGTTCACAATTAAAATTTTTCTTCTATTTCATTTGTGTCGACGGGATGTTGCTCTTGATGTAGGGTAAATATCATTCGAAACATCGGTATGACGAATCACTATTGACAATTATTTTGGAGGAAAATGAATTACATACTAGCCTGAGGTGGTGGTGCAGTAATTGGTGTCCTGGAAAAGTCTGGGACATTTCCGGTGCTTGTTTTTGAAAAATACAGAAAGCAATTTTTATCAACAGCATATGATTGTCGTTGATATCCCCGGTACTATTGGATAAGCAACCCCTCGGTCTTGCCCTGTTTTCACGTTATAATTTTTCATTTCTATCGCCTCGCTGGACTTGAAAATTCACAACAATCTGATAGTATCGAGTCCTCCAGAAAAACTTGAATGGCAACAACCAGTAGAATCGAAACTCACTCAGCCTATACGTTATACCTCCGTTAAAAAAATCTATCGACCACATTCGTTTTTTGGGGGCGTAGGCAAAGCGCATCTACCCGCCATCATATCTTGCCCTCTCTCCCATTTTTTTCACCTACATATCCTTCTTCCTCCATGACCTCTTTCTCCCCACACCCCGAGTATACGTTAAAAAAATCACCAAACTTTTCCCCCGGATTTTCAAACACTCTCACCCCTCCCTCTCCGTACCAGTCAAAAATTTATTCTCCGCGGGAAATGAAAAAAACAATAATAAACTCCAGTATTCTCCAGAAGGGGCCACCTCTTAGGGGTCGTCATGTCGTAAATAGGCGACAAAAACGGGTGTATGCGAGGGGGTGGCTGGATTATTAGTAGGAGGAGGAAGTGAAATAACGAAACTCCAATCGCCCAGATATATCCCACTCTTCGGACAAGTAAAATCCAGAAGACCCCCCTCCCAGTGCATTGAGTTTGATTTGCATCACGGTTACGAGCTCATTCGTCCGTGGCCGACGAAAAGGGGGACACAATATTACAGGGGGTACCCCCTTAAAAAAAAAGACAAAAAAAAATAGGTCTAAAAAATGCACCCCCCGCCCCAATCCACCCACCAAACTACCCATCGGTACTCACTCACAAAACTGAGAGAGTACGGCAAAAGCCTCTCTGGACACTCATAACAATCATAACAATGTTGGAATAGATATTGCGGCCCACCTCCCGCGCATCGGTACCGCCCAATGTCACGCCTCTCTACCCCCACCGGTTGGCCAGAGTGAACGGCTTATACAGTGAAAATACAACGGTTTTGTGAGCCGTGGGGAGTGTGAGTTGGCGAGTGGTGGGGCGTGAGGGCTTTGAGGTAGAGAGGGAAAACAGGCGGTTAAGGCCACCTCTTCTATCGCGAATGCTTTGAGCGCCTCGAGCCCTCGAGTATCTACCGCTCACAACGCAGCGAGACTGCGGCACGCGAGGTTCTCACAGCGCAACTACATTATTACCTCGTGCTTTCATTACGCGTGTCCAATAATTTTTATCCACATTTGCCCGCGCAACGTGACACACTCAAAGTGATTTGTGAGACTGTAAAACTAATATGGTTTCAACATGGTTTTAACATTGGTTGTTTTGAGTACGACCCAGTGAATCGTGAAATTCAATGTCAATAAGGATTTTGTGATTAATTTGTGATTCTGAGGTGAACATTGACTGTGATTTTGTCGAGACGGGTGATAACATTCAATAATTGAGGGAACAAGGGATTGAGTTGTGTGAACAGAGTGACTATTCAGTGGCAACATTGGGTTTATTAATACGGGAGATTTAAAAAATTGGGCATGTGTCGTGGGAGATAAATATCAAGAGGCTCTGGGGCTCGCAGTGACTTCGGCCCTGTTGAGATAATTGTTCAAGTACTGTTGGTTTGAACTGTCCCTGTCAAAACGGATCACGGATTTTTTCCCTGGAGTGATGACGTAACGTGTCGTGGTAATTTATTTGAGTTTGACGATAAAGTGGCATTTAGAGAAGTTATCGTGGAACATCAAAAAACGGCAACAGACAGTCTGCTGGAGGGGGAGGCTCAGCGATATTACAAGACAGGTGAGTCGGATTTTTATCCTCCAATCGAGACAACAAACTTACCAATATCACAACTCCATAAAAATTACCGAAACAATTTTACTGCCAGTTGCTGAAATCAGATGGCATTAATTTTATAAAATTCGCTGGGTCAATTAACTCAGCGGGAGCAATAGAATGCATTGAAAAAATGACAAGTATAAAATTAAAAAAACAGAAACATTGAATTGATTAGCGACAATATACACACATCGCAGCTTGTGCTTAATTGAATCGTTGTCGTTGGTAAAACCCACACAAACAGTTGGCCACGTCATCTCGGCAATTAAAAAAAAAATAAAGCCAGAGAAAAGAAGAAGAAAAAAAAATATCATTAAAACGACAGATAGAGACAGAAACTCTAATAATCTCCTAATTATCGCTGGCTAACGCAGTGGTAATTACCCGTGTGTGTGCACGTGACCGCACTGAGAGACACGTCAGTGTTTTTCAGCCTCAAATAATAATACAAACGTTATAAAAGTTGTACACTGGGGTGTGCACAAGTATACGACAACTGAAAAAGCGTTGGTAAACAGAGTGTACCAGAAATGGTTATATGGTACAGTCATGACAAATAGAATAATTAAAACCGCATTATAAAACTGCGTTATCTACATGGCACGAATAAAACGGACAAATAAAACGCGTTCTAAAGACTTTGTCATGTGCAGAATTTTCATTTTTTCATGGTTTGATTTGCGCTATCGATTTTTCATTAAATCAATCACGCGATTATAATTTTTTTCGGACATTGTGGGTGAATTTTTATTTCAACTTTTTAAATAAATTTTCGCAATGCAGTGAAACCGTTCAAGTCTATTGTTATTGTTGCGAATTATTGAATTATCATGATGGAATGTTGTATGTGGATAAATAAGTGACAGTGATACTCACTATTTGTGTATCGCGCATTAATTTTACGATTGCCGCCAGCGGCTCGTGATCGTACGCGTGCGCAATGGTATCAGTGTATTTACCACACATACAAGTAAAAAGGCCTTCAGCCTCTATTCCACATGAAAAAAGATTGTAGTTCGAGGAACAGATGGGTGAATTATCAAAGTACGAGGGTTATTGAATACTCTCAATGTCTCTCAACCCAGTTTGAATCCCTCTCCATTAATTCTTTTATCCGGTCAATTCCAATTAACCGTTTGCTTCTTGATTACTACTAATTACGAGTCATTACGATGGGTACTTGCTAATTGTAAGTAGGCTGATGTCACAGTTAAGCGAGTTTTCATGGTATTGGTGGTAGTAAATCCTTGATGAATCAATTTTATGGGGTATAATTGCTCCATCTTGATGCACTGCATGTATATCGAATGGAAATTAACAATTTCTTCATTTGTCCCAATTTTTCAAATTATCAAAATAATTTTAGCCTGAGTCCAACTTTTTTCGCCCTCGAACACCTCAAAAATTGATCTATGAATATGAAATCGAACATGACGATGACGTCAAGATTGGTTGTAAAATTAATCCCTCGAAAGGAGAATGAAAAGTTGAGGGGGGAATATTGAATAAGAAATGGTGGGTGTTAAATTGCAATAAAATCCTCAGTATGTACGTCAGCGGGACGCCCTAGTTGCATCAGTCACGGGTTTGCCCCGCGGATGAGTATTGGACACCAGTACCACCATTGCTTATTATAAGTCGGCTAATATTGGTAATTAGGTAGGTCATCTAAATGTGATGTTGACGAGGTAACTATAAACTCGAAGAGTTGTCCTACCTTTTCAGTGGACCCTGTTGTTTCCCGTACCGTCACTGAAACTTCACATGCATGAACGTTGATGCAATGCAGGTCAACGGTATTTAGTTTAATGTGTGAGAGTACAAAGTGTTTGAAGATAAAATTAGAGCAGTTTAGATTTTAAAAATTCGCAGTTTACAGGTGTATAGCTTTTCATATATTGCTTAGAAAATTGCATTAATTTCAGTTGTCAAAGTTTTTAATGTTGTTGCGGAATATTTCAAGTAATTAGCGAATGCTTTCGACGTGGGGAGACGAAATGTTTTACGTAATTTTGGTATTGAGGCACTGGGTGAGGATGAAAATAGAGGGGAATGAGGCAGGCAACTTTGGACATTTCTGATCATTGTAGATGTTTATTATTCAAGATATTCGAAATTATTCAGAGGGGTTGAAATTGTCAGGGGAATCAAGATATTATTATTGGAATTATCGGATTCAAGGTATTTGGGATGTCATTTCAGACTGTTTCGGCCTCTATTTTATAGGTTTAAAATGTTATTTTATTGGGGTCTTGATGGTATCGAACGTGAGAAGCCAGTGATAATTTGCCACCTTCATTATTTATGCGTCTTTCCAGTCCTAATTATCCGATAATTATGCGCATTACGTTGTGTTTCATGTACGTGTGGGAATCGAATACAGACAATACATCGGTGTTTCACATAGACAAGTATATGATGGGTTTGAGGCTTCCAGCGTGACCTGAAAATGCTAATTGAAGGATCGACTCCGGAGATCGGGGAGAGTATGTGCAGCACATATTCTCTCTGTCGGGTATTAATGAAGGGGGAGGTGACTTTCTTAATGCGGGCCAGAGTTCAACTTCGATTATCGACCAATGGATTTTAATTTTGGATTTGAGTATGGGGTGAGAGGGGATTTTTATTCGGGTGAGTTGGGGCAGACATCTGAGAATAGATTTCATTGTATCTTGGAATATCTGGTCTGTTTGAGGCATGCTAATTACAGATTTTGTGTTCGATGCGGTACAATGAGCACGTGGCACTCGTTGCAAAGTACTAGTCAATTGTTCTTATCATTTTCACTGATTGTCCCAAGTTGATGGAAATTTCCATTTCATTTTTCGACACTTATTGACAGTAATTTACGTATCAATTGCCTTTTTTATCTATTGATCCACCTTGAAATAAAAAGAGTTAGAAATCAGAGGGAATAATTTTTCCTTGTCTAAAGAGAGGTATAAAATTTAGTACATAAATCCAGAGCATGTGATTATTTTACTCGCCGGCAAGGTAAACATGAACACGTGTCTACGGCGTGACTGTACGGGGGAAGCGAAAGAGGAAGTGCTGGTGGTGGGGTTTGAGGAAGGGGATGCTCTCGGGATGGGGTAAATCTGAAGGGGTTCTTTGCTCTGTCTCTCGGGCGCACGATCGAGAATAGAATAGAGGGAGTGTAGGGAATTGAAAAAAAAAAAAAAGTAGAAAGGAGGAATGAGGGATAGGGGGTGATGGCGGGGGTGGAGTGAGTTTGAAACATAGGATTGGGGGGGGATTCGCCGACGGCAGAGAATCTCAAAGGCGGTACACTCGATTCACGATATTGTTGGGGTAGGCACTTGAAAAGTGGTCACAAAAGGAAATGACGCTCTGTCAAAGCTTTATCAAGATGAGGGGATTTTTTTTTTCTGGTACCCAGCAGCTCGATGCGTGAAATGATTGACTGTATTCTATTCGATTGAATTCCAAAAAAAATACATTCTTCAGTGCTACGAAATGGAAATAATTTACATAACATTAACAAAACTCGTCAGTCCATTTTGCCGCGTTCCGTCTCGCATTACAGATGTTAGAAAAAAATAATACCGTTAACAGAGCTCTGGATAAGATAAGAATCTCTATCTATATAGCGACACGATTACCTCAGCTTGCCAATGACCTTGAGAGTGGAATAAAAAAAAATGTAATCGCATATCCGAGGTCAAGGAGATCGATTCGGTCTGACCCACCTCAAATCTTCCGCAATATCTCCCTCTCTCATTCACTCTCCCACGCACGAGTAATTCACCTTCACCCCATCCCCTGGATTCAACCCTCAGCGATCTTCGGTAGTGATAAAATTTCGTCCCAATAAAAGAATAAAAAAAAATCTCCGATTCCCCGATTGTTCGTACGCGTGGCGAACTCCCTTCCCCCCCAATTACAAATGATCCGACCGATTTCTTTTCATCCCTTTTCATTCAATTATTAAATGGTCGGCATAATAATTCCTATAAAGGAGTCAAAACGGCGAAACTCAATGCAATCCTTATTCTCTTCTCTTTATCGATCCTGAAATTATTTGTTTAATGGGTACATGGGGATGATTCACAATTGGAAGGACGTGACACTTAGTGGGGGCTCTATGAAGCGTGCGTCGTCATTAATTCTAATAATTTATAAAGAAGCACGCACGTGCGTATCGCCCCACCTCCTTCTCATCCCGAAAAAAAAAGGAGAAAGGAGAAAAAAAGGGTTATAGCTTAAGACCCGCGGCTCAGTGACACTGTCGAGTGTTTTTTGTACGCACGGTATGTCTAATGGATCTAATTTGCGTGTAAAAGCCGTGGGGTTTTGGCTGATGCTAAAGATTCTCTCGCGTTCCACTCACTCCTCCAATTATAATTTTAGAAGCATAAAAATTATTCTGCCAATGACGTTTTGATTTACGCACAAATTTTACCATTGTTAAATAAAAATTAACGCGAAAGTAACGAGCAAACATTGACTCTCGAATTGGATCCAGAATGCTGTGAATTATTGCATTGTTTATAATTAAAAATTCTTGGTGAAATAAATGAATTTCTACTTAACTGATTATCAAAATTGTATTATCTTATCAAGCACAGAAATAATGATATAATTTGCCAATGAGATATTCAATTGAATTTCTCGATTTGATAGCGAATTAGAAAAGATAGAATGAATTATTATTTTTGGTGAAAATTAGGAGGTTATTTCGGTATTTTAGAGTGAATGAATCCAATCGTTTGATTAAGGGTAATTGATCAAACAGAGTTTAATTATATTATTTACACGAGAATATTTCGATAATCATGGTCAATTATCTTTCATGATAAATTGACCGAAAAAAAACATGAAAAAGTGGTGAATTTCCACGATTTCAATTGCAGAATAGACTCTTGCCAGACTATATCGAGGCCATATGTCAAGTTTTGTCAGATTCCCGCGGTGGCGAAGACTAAAAGGCATAGTTTCAG